GAATTATTCTGTGACGAACGTGCGAATGATATAAAGAAAACTAAAACGGGCTGCAGCTAACGTAACAAATAATAGGAAAGACGAACGTGTAGATAGATAAATAAGCGTAGTAAACAATTAAAACAAAGAATTATATTTAAACGATCGGGGTTAGATCGCGAGCACCGTAAAATCCTCGAAATACTAAACGAACGCCGTGTTTTTTAAGATTATCATCGTCGACTAATCATGTTTATTGTATTTAAATAATAGTTAAAAGGCTATCTAACGTTTAACGGTCTAGTTTACACGATAAATGATTAAAAAAAAAAAAAGAGATAAAAGGGAAACTCGTTACCTCCGCCTAAGGGATAGATTGTACGAATCGAGAAACTAAAAATAACACGAAAGATCGTAGCCCTTAAGAGCGAATTGAAATTAAGTTAAGTATTATGAAATAGTGAATTTCAAGGGAATGGGAGGGGGGAGATTGTTAAATACTCGAAAGTATACCAAAAGTGCTAACCATATAAGGAGAATCAGGAAATCGTTTTACTTCATAGTTTTAAGGGAGTACAGACTTCATTTTAATAACTGTTCAATCATTATCGATTTTTTTCCATTTTATTCGTGCTATTTTATCCTTGTTTCTTTTTATTGTTCACACTTTTCGACGCTGTTTCAATGAAACAGCTGGCTCTTTGAACGTGTCTTAAAATTGTGCGATCAATCATTTGATCGTACGATTCTCGTAATGATAAAAATGATGATGGAAGAAGGGGTTGTTGAAAGAAAGAGTACGCGTATGAATCGTGTGTATGTGTGTGTTTGAGAGCCAGAGAAAGATAAGAGCGAATGAGGGGAGATCAGGACGACGACGTTGTAGGTAAAAATCGAAATAATTATTGATTAAGGGATAAGTTTTGTACAAATGTATTATAAATTAACGATTATCCTCAGAGTACCTTAAACACACAGTTAACGAAGAGAGAAAAAGAAAACAAAGCTCATCTTTGACTTAATGAACAAAAAAAAAAAAAAAAGAATGAAAATGAACCGACACAATATATTAATTACGTAGAATTTTCTCCCCGTTTTTATACGGTTGTTGTACCTTCGCATGGTCGACGGTAATTATCGACAGGCATGTAGGATCAATAATTAAGGTATCGATTAATTAACTAATTAATTAATTAATTACTTAAAGCGTATAAACTCGACATAAGGAGACACCGTTGCGTAGGGAAGTATTAAAATAGTGCGAGACGATATTTTTTAACGAAACAACTAAATGCCAACCATTGTGTTCTCGTGAGAATCATAATTATTCCGTAACTTTTAAGTAAAATGAAAAGAAAAAGAGAACGCGTATCTAAGTCGTTGATTAGTCGTTGTAATTTTAATTCTTTCGTTAAAGAGAGATAGAACAACACGTGATACAAGGGTGTAGGGTGAAAAAGGATTGTAAGATCATTATGAACGATCGAATTTAATACGTTTCATGCCAAATAAATCATCGATGACCCATGGTACTTGAATATTCTTGCAATTAGGCAATTGAGTTCCTTGGTACTTAGACAATTTTTTATATCCCTCTAAAATTATAATGATAATTTTTCAAATGTTTCTTCTAATTTCAGAAATTTTCTATAATCCACAAAATTCACGTGGCATGGAACGTATTAATCGACGAACTCTGGGACTGAAAATAAGTGACATGACTGTTGTCGAATGGAACAGACTGAACGGGTGTACGATGATTGCGAATGAAAGCCAAGAAAGAAAAGTATGGTCGCGAACGAGAAAGGCATAAAACGCGTGAATCGTGCTACGAATGGCTAAGGAAACGATTGTTGCAAAATCCTCGAGGTATGAAAGAAATTGGTATGTCAGTTGCGAGTCGGTATAGTTGCAAAGAGAAATATAGGTCGCTTAAAAAGAAAATTTTCCACGTAAAACGACACACAGCGACGCTGACAAGATTCTAGTAATACATGAAACACATAAAATAATTTGTACGCGTTGTACAAACGAGGGCGCGTTCGGTGCCACCAGGTTTAAGGTTTGCCAAATCTTCGATAAGATAAAAAAGAAAAACATGAAGCAAAATGTTGATTAAGCTGGAATTACGTGTGTATAGTGCGTAGAGAGTACTTGCATTAAAAGAATCATAGCTAAACCGTTAGTGCTTAAAAAACGCGACGATGTGATTGAAAGTGCCGATGCAATATTTCCAAATCGCAACAAGCCACCCTCCCCCGATAACAAATTTTTTTTAGGCCCGAAATGATCCCTTTGTTGCCCTTATTGGTCAGTTCCTTTACAATTTCATATTCTAACGAGACACACGGTGAGCGAGGGAAAGGAGAAAGGGACACGGACTAACGTGAAATTGTTTAATAATGATTCGTTATCTAATTGTAGCGACATTCATTTATCCGAGAATGAGGGAATGACTGGCAGATCGAAAGAGATAATTACGTGTGAATGCATACGCTCGTGGGTTAGATTTGTTGAAAACAGAGCCTGTAGATTTAAAATAGTTAATCATTGTTGAGGTGAAATAGTTACATGGAATACTTAAGAATTGTTTAACCCTTGGACAGTGGATGCTGGGTCAAACATGATCCTATAATCGTAGAATTAAAACAAAATTAAAAGGAAATTTATACTGAACGTATCTAGATTAATTGCCAAGTGTTAGAGTGTCAGCTTCCCTTTGGCATTACTGCATAATTAATGAAAGTCTTACTTGTCACAGACTCGTTTCAATGTAAGATAGACTTAAGGTTGGATCTTGAGTGATCCAGCATTCGTGGTCCAATGGTTAAAAGAAAATTGGAGATAAAATGACCAGGAGGATTTCAGATAGACGCAAAAACAAATGGTCCCTTGCTGCTCGCGTGTGATTTGTTGCGGAAAGCTAAGCCAAGAGAAAAGAAACGTCAGCTACGTAAATCCAGCTGTCTTGTTCGGTGAAATTGGGGTAAAATAGGAAGGTAGTTAAGAGAAAATAGCAAGATACGGAGAAACGTACGTTTCAGGATGGGTAAACGAAGGGTGGCGGAAGATAATTAATTGCGTAACAGAGTATGAATGTGTGCGCAAGTGTTTCTGTTGATAGAAAAAAAAAAAAAAGAAGAAAACAGATAGAACGCAATTCTTCAAGATTTGAGGGAAAAAATTTAATTGGGGAGGGCAGAACTTTTGTTCGCGAATCGTTCATTTTCCTGTGCTTTTATTTTTCACCGAGTATACACGATTTTACGATTGTAAGAAAGAAACGAACCTTCACCCCCTACCCGCTCCCCTCACTCCCAAAAACGACACATAAAGAAACAGTACTATTATTATTGCTACTGTACTATTACTACTACTATTATCGCTACTATTACTACTATAAATATTAATTATGATTATTATTAATTATTATTATTAATTATTGTCATTATTATTACTACTACTACTACTACTACTACTATTACTACTACTATTATTATTATTCATCAAATACACACATACACACATATATAAATATAAAGATATATATATATATTAATATACTTAACGGTGTTTCTAGTGGATTAATTGATTAATTGATACTTAAGATATTATATTAATGATATAGTAATAACGATTATAATGATGATGATGATTATATATAATTATATATATATAAATATATATATAATGATGATAAGTTGATATGCTGATATAATTATTATGATGATATAATGATAATATAGAGAAAAGAGTGGATCATTATTCGTAAAGTACATAATGGATAGATTATGAGAATGATTAAATAGAAAATGATATTGATGAAAAAAAACTAATGAATCTTGTCAATCGAATCCAAACAATCTTCTCCCTCCGTTTATTAATTAATCTACGTGTTAAGTGCTTGGTATATTGTTGAGAGGACTTAAAACACTGCACGGTTAATTAAAGAAATAATCGCGAGACGAGTGTACTAGGGGAATGTATGCAATTACTGATGATTTAATTTCACCGATTTATCGCAGACAAAATTTTTTGTGAACGAGAGTAGACGTACGAGTGAAAAGCGAGCATGCGAGTGCGAGTGACGTGAGAATCTTTCGTTAGAGAAATTTTTTTCGGTCTTTCTATCGCTCGATTAGTTTCCGATCGATGATTTTAGATTAGTTCCTTCTACTTTCTTTTTGCCGTTTCTGTTTTGTCAATCAATTTCGAGAAACAAAGAAAGAAAGAAAGATACTGTAATCTTGCATACGTTTCCTGACGCGATTTTTAAATTCAGCAGTTTTTATTTCAATGAAAAATACTTTGGCACAAAATTTTACGTAAATTCTCTTGTTTCTTTTTTTTATTTTTATTTTATTTTTTTTTTACTTTTGACGATATGCGCGATTCGTACATGTAGACTGGATGGAATTACAGAGGTGGCCCACTATTTCGAAGAATGTCTCTTTTTCTTTTTATTTCTTTTTTTTTTTTACCTTTTAACTTTTTTTTCGCTATTGACGTTACACGGGAACGGGGATATTAGATTCTCATTGGTGCAGTGTTTTATGCGCGTCCCAACGTGTTCACCATAACTCCTCGAAACTGTGGTAAGAAAATTTATTCAGCAGATTAAGCGTACATGAAGCGAAATTTCGCATTATCATGCAAATCTCGACGGGTTAAAGTGCGTTCACGAATACCCAGATTCGAGGTGAAATTGGTGCTGCTTCTCAATACTTTAGGGGCTGAATACGTTATAAGTTCGTAAAATTTTAACATTCATTGTCACAGGATTCTTCTATAAATTTCAAATTTTCATTCAGCGTTCGCCCCTTCAGTATTTCACAAAGTTAGTTTAAGACGCGACTAGATTTTTCTTCGAAAAAAAGTTGTAGCAATCGCGACGCGTATGAAATTTTCCAACTACCTTCTCGCTAATTTTCATCGGTTTTACCGTAATTTTCACGCCTAGAGAACGAAGGCGTACTCGGGACCAGCCCGCACCACCTAATTTCCTCCTTTGTTTCCCACAGACACTCCGATCCCAAAGTTCAAAAACACCGAAACTGGAAGCCCGACCTTCATCCCGAACGGAGACGCAGCCCCGGGTCCCCAACGATTCTCCCTAACCCAGCACACGAATTATCATCCCTATAGGCGCTAAAGAGCTCTAGAAATCATTAAAAACAATTAATAGAGAGGAGAGATGTTGGCAGCGTCTTCACGGCGAAGGATGAATCAGGTGAAAAGCGTGACGAGAACGATGAACCGAAGGTGTGGCCATCATCTTGCTTCCCTATGTTCGAAAAAAATGACCCGGCACCATCCAGTTTTGACCATCTAATTTCGTACGAAAAATTGACTTTTATAGAGGTCGTATTTTTTTCTCACCCCTCTTTTTTCCTTTTCTTTTTTTTTTTTATTTTTCACTCGTTCCGATCGAACGACGATCCCGTAAGATGATTTATTTACAATTAAGGAATTGTATAAGTTACGTGCAAGTGATGGCGTGTAAGCAAGCGTCCTTTTTTTTTTTTTTTTACAAATTAAGGTACTTATTTAAGGCCTCCGACTTAGATCCATTATTTAAGATACTATAATTAAATTTTACTATTGAACCTTTTTTTTTTAATCGTTAGCTTTGTAACGTCTAAGGTATTTCTTTCTTTTTTCTTTCCATATTATTATTACATTTTTTTAATATATACGTGTAGAATTATGGAGACGAAATCATGACATTGAGGATAGAATTATTTAAGAACCTACCGTGCTGCGAAATTCAGAGTAATTTCTTTTTTTCATTTTCCATCGCGATACGTGTAACTATTATTTCGAGATTCAAGAATGCCTTTTTGGTTTAGCAATTGATTACGATTAAATTTTCATTCAACTGCGTCCGTCCATCGTTCGAACGAGATTTCTCAGACGTGCGCGTTTAAATTCGTGTTCGTGTTGCAGCCATACTTCCCCGTACTGTTGGCTGAATACTCGATAACTTCGAGAATTTCGTTTGTCCGTCTCGAAGCTGGCCGATACTCGTGATACATAGTATTTAAGTGTTTTTTATAGTAATTATTAAGGCCGTGATATAAGGAAATAAATTTTGTACTGAAAATTGTAATACAAATATAGGAAGAGAGAGAGAGTGAGAGGAGAGAGAGAAATATTAACATAGTTAAACATTTTTGGTATTATTTTCTACGGTTAAGTCGCCGGTGTGTTTAGTCGATAAGCCCTACGATTAAGATTATTAAGGACGTAATATAAGCTTTTCCTACTTGCACGTTACGTGACATAGTTTTTATACACTTTATTTCTTCCTGCACGATACGTTTTCCATTTTTCTTTTGTATTAAGTGGTTGCATATCAGATGGCCGATTTCGAAACGAAACGTCTGATATGATTTGATGATATAAAAGTAAAAGCAACGAGCCAAGGATTTGTGGTGGTTATTTTTATCAAATTCATATTCCATAAGTGCTATTTTATAACACTTTTCTGTCATCAAATCATATGAGACTTTGTGTCTTCTAAAATAAGCCATTTGACATGCAACACTATAATACATTAATCAAAGAAAATAATTTGGACTAATTCTAGTAGATCGACGAACTTAATACACGTATCATGTTTCTTTACAAATTTTGCATTTGTATTTTGGAAGCTTCGAAGATCCCCCTCCTATCGATACGTTCCAGTTTCCTGCAATCGCTTCCTTTATTTTTGGCCTATGCCACTTCTCTTACTTGAAAGTTTGTTCGCGTATCGCTCTACCGGATCGAATTCAATTAACCCCGCGTTCGGGTCGGCGAATCCTTTCCATTAACGCGCGGTTTCTTCTTTAATCCGCAATTTCATCTCGTGCCTGTAACCTGAATATTCTCCTTCACAGTTTACCTTTGAAAATTTCCCTTTATTTAATTCTGGCGAAATAGATAACGTTAATCAATTTCGATTTTCCTAAACGACAGCAATCTGAGATCGAAACACTTGAAATATTAAAGAAATTCGTGTTGAAAATTATTTAACGTTCCAAAACTTTTATAAAGACTATTTTTTTTTTGTTCATTAACCGAATGGAGGGTAAAAAAATATGTTGGACCAGATCTTCCGCGATTACACGCTCCGCCTGCTCTCAATTATTACAACTCTCTCCTAGGGATCGCGTCCTGGCACACAGTACTACGTTCTTTTATGCGATTCTAACAGGCACCGAATACGGACCCTCGAGACTAGAGAGCGTTCCTGCTGCCCCAGGAACCAACGACAACTACAGTGGCGGTGGTCCCCAAAGGGGTTACACAGGATCCTCATCCAGCTCCAACAATTACCATCCCTACCGTCGCTAGAAAGGATTCGGACGAATCGAGTCCTCGCTATTCGTAGCACGAGGTTTCGTTTCTTCCCTTCTTATATCATCGACGCACGCGTTTATTAAATTTACTTAACGTCGTGTACGCGCGAACAAAACCTACTTACTTTTTGTTTTACGTCTTATGCGGTGCGTACGTATGCGTGTTGCTGGATGAATGTGCGAAACGACGGCAGTTATATTCCATCCAACGAGACGAGGCAGTAAAATGCGTAAAAATTCGGGTGCTCGAAGCAGGTGCGGATCGCAGTACGCAAACCTTCGACCGAAACGTTTGAAGAACTGGAAACAACTGAGCTCCGATCCTGCGTCGAGCGCGCGATTTTGTAAACATATCCTGACTCGTCTCGCTGGACGGATTACAGCGAGACACAGCTGGTGAATTCGCGAATAAACAGACAATGGTTTGTTTTTATCGAGACGCGTGTGACTGATTGCATCGAAACGTTGAACGGTTTGTTACTCCGAGGAAATTCTCGGGGAAGAAGAGTTTTAAATGTAAGGACTAAGCGATTTTTTTTTTTCGGAGGCTGGTAACAGGAAGAGGATATGGTGCTTGACAGTGTACCACCATACATCGGACCAATTTTTCTACAACGAAACTGTGGAAGATCGTCTTCGACACGAGGTCGCGTCGCTCTCTCGCAAATTTTATATTTTCGGAGCCTTGAAAGACACGAACGATCGTATTTCACGAGGCTGCGTTAATCGATCTGCCAAATTAGCGTGTTTGATTTTGAAATTTCTGCGTGTAAACGGCCTCGAGTTTAAGCGAGAAGAAATTTCCGAAACGAAAGCGTGCGGATACTGCAATCGTAGGTTTAATGATTATAGAAGAACCTAATTCGTTAAGGATTCATTCGTTCAGTTCGTCGATCACGAAGCGATAAATATTTCATTGCGCAACATGTAATCACGATTTTCTTTTCTTTCATAAAGCGATGTTAATTTTGATCAGTGATTCCTTGATAAAATTCACTGACCGTCCACGTTGTCACTTTGATGATTTTTGACGAACGCGGCGCCATAATACGATGTCCATTGAATTGTTTTTACTTTTTAATTTTAGTAGTCGCGACCGATGACCAAAAATCGCGTTTCAAAAACGACAAGAAACCTAATCCTTTGTTTTTTTCAATTTCTGCCGTAGGAAGTTTATTTCCTAGACGTCCTGTTCATTTTTCCGAGTGGATGACGCGAGGCTTGTGGACTTGAGGTAAAAATACAGGAGACGCGCGTCGTCGCTTAAACGGGCCGCGATCAGATTTAAGAAATCGTATATTATTTTTTTCAATAATTTGATAACAAAAATTCGTTCCTTTGTCCCTAATTTTCTTGTGTTTTCTGCGTTTTATTTTAACCAACGCTGTTCCCTTCCGGTTAAATAAATATTACATACGTGGCTTTCGATTCGAGCACAGTCTTCGAAATTTACCATTAATTAAAGAAAATATCCCACAGAGGCTCGCAGCACGTTTTTACAGCAACGAAATGAATCTAGGGTAAAAGAAAAACGAGAAACAATCAAGAAAGACAGTTATTTTTTAACGTAAATTTTAGGAGCTTTGTCTGTTTTTTAATATATATGTAAACTTGGTTACCATATAAGTGTAATTAACGATTAACGTTTGTATTTATTTAAATCGTTACACCTGCCTGCGAGACTGCTGTAATTCGAATGATAGATTTAATGATCCGGGAAGTCGGGGTGCGATCAAAGAAGTATCATCATTTTTTCCGTGCGTCATTTCCCTTCGAATCGAATGCATAATTTGCGAATGTTTGCGTTTCGTGATACGAAGAAAAAAAAAGAAAATGCAATTTCGATACGTTTCTTCTCGTCTTCGGCGCACGTACTTGTTCGCGATGGAATGAGACATCAACTCTTTCGTTCGAGTGCATGGATTAATAAATAGGAAAAGAAAATATTGAAGGATATTTTTGATCAGGCGTGAATCCGAATGCTCGTTGTAATAACGGTGAATTAATTCTGTCGATAGCGATTAATTGTAATGTTAAGGGTTAAGAAGATTGCCGGTGACGGCACGCGGGCCTTCCCGTTTCTACCATCGCCGCTCATAACTATTATTGATTAGTGATACGACGATGATAATGATAGTAATACCGTTCATAATATTTTTGTTATATATTGCGAGGGTGGAAGCAGCAAGAAATGCATTCTTTTATAGCATAGAAAACGAATTATTCCGTATGAATTAATAAACATTCACATTTTAATAGAAAATATCGTTTACATTTCTTTTCTTCACCCCCTCTGTTCGCCACTTCATTAATGATTCAAGGGTAATCAAGGTAAGATTATTCAGATCATTATATTTATATTTTGGTGTTTTGTGAAATGAATAATCATAGGGTAATTCTAGTGGAATGATTTTATTAAATTAAAATCATATATTTATAGCTAAAAATTGAATTTACGAGATTGAATATCAAGTTTCAGTGGTAGAATTTCTATCTCACTGCGTTTTCTACTTGAGCATGAGTCACGAGAAAAGATATGTACACATTTAATTACGTATTTATTTAATTGTACACGGTTCTCGGATATGTGGATTGTCTTTATCGAATTGTACGATTACTGAAAGCTTTGAGACGTATTTCCTTTCCTGATCGTCAGCTAATCTACGATTTTATCACATCGAAAGCCCTGCAAAACTGCTTCGCTTTTACTTACTCTAAGGTACGTATTTTTATATTTCCAAAAATCACCTTCAAATTATAACGGAGAATGAATTGAGATAGGACGGTTTAGTTGATCGTGAAAATTTATGTTTGTTAAGAAACGAATAGATTTGAGGCCAATTTTCCAAAAATACTCAGAAATGATTTATCATTTCTTAATTGATTTTCAAAGAATTTCGAATCGATTTCGCGTTACATCGAAAGCTTTCGTTGATTTGTATCGTTTCGTTGATCATTTTTTTTCCTCGTCTCTATAATAATAATATTTCTATAATGTAACATACTGTAAAAAAGGTAAGGTGAGCGTCTATAGAGATATGTCACAACGGAAGTATCGCTAGAACTCTCCAATTTTTCTATCAAAGTCCCTTCTTCCATTTTTAAAATTTAATTCCGCGCCTTAAGAGGAATAATAAATCAGTACGTTTACGCGATGGAGCATTTATGGCAACGCTGTTTACTCAACTTCAATTTCCCCTCTTTTTCTTGATCCATGTGCTTGCGAACAGACTCTGTAATCATTATTCCAGAAATCACTTCTCCCTGATGTTATTCTGTCGAGAAAAAAACCATTGAAATGTTCTTTACCTACCAGCAATGGACTTTTTATCTACCGCAAACAAAGCGTCGCAGAGTTCCTTGGTTATGGGAACTTCCGGATTCAATCCCGAGGCCCAGATCATCAGCATCCGGAAACCGTGTTCCTTATAACTCGAACGACCTATAATAGGAGCTTTATCGTCCTTTTCATAAAGCTGCTCTTGGTTTATCGAGGTGCAAAACAATTATAAAAGCTATCATAAGAAAAAGTGCCATTTCCGTTCTTCAAATCAAATCCTTATAAAAGTAGCATTATCTCAAAATTCCAAATAATCACACAACTTTTATAGAAAATTTAAGCATTTATATCTTGGTCGTGCCACCTTCTCGATTTCTGTCACGTTCAATTCAAGCAGATTATTATTTTACCCGTGTACTGATGCTCGATAGCCCGAATCTGATCCTGGGTGAAAGCCCAATGGAGTGCCAATTTCTTCCAGTCTTCGGGTCCCAGTTGTTTGTACGCCAACTTCCATAGAACCGATCGAACGTACTCTGGAAGACCGCTATTGTTGCTGGAGATACTTCCACCCCTGGATCCTTCTCGCCATCTTCTTCTTGCCGGGGTCAGGTCTCGAATTTCCTTTTCAACCGTCGAATCTTCCTGAAAGGATCAACTATCCATCATCCTATGACGTTCATCCATTAACCCTGCATAACTCAAGTTTTTCCTGTATTTTCATACAAGGCAACACATCAATTTTCACTGCAGTAGTTAATTGGGTTGCAATTTCGAAATTAAATTCTCAATTTTTATCCTCACTTTAGGTAGCAAGCTAATAGCTCCTATATTAAGTTAAAATTACCAGTTATAAAATCGTTATTACCTTAAGTCATTAAAAAAAAACAGAGCAATACTGTTCTTTATACTCTCGTTAAAAGTTTCCATCAGTCACTCACCGGTGTGGGGTAGTCCAATCTCGCTGTTTTAATGATCATGTCCACGATGGCCGTGAAACTACCCCTCGCCGCGATGTAAAGTGGCGTTCTCCCGCTCTGCGAACATTTCCAACAACTTTGTTTTAACTTCGTTGCCGATCTCACCACGTCTCGTTGCTCCTCGCTGAACCAACGTTCGCCGAGGATCGTGCACGCCTGCCTGTGCAAACTTTCCAGGAAGTCGTTGTTGACCCGTGTCAGCTCTCCTCGTAGTCGCGTTAAACCCGGGTTAACATGTACGGTACAAAGAGACGCCTACTTTGATTACGTTCAATCAAGTCGAAACGTTGCTATCCGATGACGAGGATCGAACTTTGTCAAACAGACTACCGTGACGAGGATTCGTATGGGCTGGGCCTGGTCCCTTGTCTTAATTAACTTAATTCATTAGAATTAAAAAATTTTAGGATTTTAAAATTCTGAAATTTGGGAATGAAAATTTTGAAATATTGAGGGACTCCTACCTAACTACTTATTAATTTTAACCACCCTAGTTTGCTTTATTACAAATTAATTCTATAAAATATTAAGTATTATTTTTTATGCGGGATAGGTATAAGAATATGACTAAAAAACCAAGGCTGATTGTGAAAGAAAATAAAAGGAAAGGAAAGAGAAGGTGTACGATCAGTGTTCACCTGTTCCCTTTGCTCGATATTCGCACCTGCTGCAAGCAAAAGCTCGCAAATGTCCGTGTGTCCCATCTCGGCGGCGATATGTATAGGCGATTGTAGTCTCTGAAACAGAAAAAGGAACGAATCAGAATCTGTCCTAAGAGGAACATCGATCTTACCCACCGAATTTAAACAATTCAAATCGACGCCCTTATTGATCAGTATCTCCACCGTTTCAACTTCGTTGTTCTGACAGGCCAAGTGCAAAGGCGTGTTCCCGTACTGTAAATCGAATCGTGACCATAGTTGTTCGATTTCGATTAAGCATACCTCGAGAGTACCTTGCACTGTTTGTTGAGCGCTGCGCCGTGTTGAATCATCGAGTCCAAGATCCCTTTGCAGCCTTGACTCGCGGCCACGTGAAGCGGAGTGAAACCCATCTGAAAGATGAAATTCTTTATGGTCCTTCCGCTCGAGGAAGTTCGAATTTACGGTTACAGGGAGGTTCATCCATTTCGTTTAAGCTTGGATCTTCAGGGGGTGGTTTCTTTTACGGTATCGGGGGAAGTGTTATTTACTTCGTCGGTCAGCTCGGTGTTCGCCCCGGCCTTTAATAATAATTGAGCTATGGCTGTGTGCCTCGTTCTTGTGGCCACGTGCAGCGGTGTGTTCCCTTCGTTGTCCTGCGCGTCCCCGTTCGCCCCGAGCCCTATCAGAACCTCGACAGCCTCCAGATGCTCCTCGGCGCAGGCACAATGGATCGGTGTCTGCCCTTTCTAAAAATCACATTGGAATTTATGTTTCCATCCCGGGAGTCGGTTCAATAATTCAGTTTCGACCGCAGAGGTAAAGAGGTTTACTGTGAATGAAACATCACCATTGAGAATGCAAAGTAAGTTTGAAAGCCGGAATCGGTAAAAGAACAGGAGTTCCATAAAACTCCTTCAAAGGATTGCAGTTCGATTCCTATAGCTCTGGTGTTCTCCTCTCCAGGAATTTCACTTGTCTTCGCGATAAGAAGGCGATATAGTTAATGTCAGAGACCCAGTTTCTCGGTATCTAGCATCGAGAGAGGAAAGGAAAAGCCGTATACACTGAAGTTTCTTAAGTCCTTTGCATCCGGTCTACTACAGAGATTTGCATTCTCGTATCAATTTTAAATGGATTAACAGGAATCTCGAGGAAAGAAAATGCTGTCTATAAATTTACATTTACATTAAACGCGATATTGGTTTCCATTACAAGATTAATCAGAGATTTTACAAAGTGGAACACCGTTCTCTTCCTCCCGATATTATTTGTCCTTCTCACGTCTGCAGGGAAATAATGACGTCTCTTGGCTCTTACTTTATCCGTGGCATTCAGCTCGATCCGTGATATATTGGAGAGGGCGGTTATCATAGCCGGATGACCAGCGCTGGCTGCATGATGAAGTGCAGTCGCACCGGTGCAATCCGTTGCATCGCCGTTCAACGATTCCACGGCCTCGGAAAGGTATTCGACGACGCGGATGTTGTTGCCTCGAGCAGCGCACATTAAAAGGGTGTGCTGTTTCTGCGGTAAACAGAAACTAACGTTGCGAATGTTGCCTCTCGTATCGTAAGCTGGTACAATTGTTGATTTTGTTCTGTGCGAATTTTTCTCTTCTAGAAACGCGAAAATATTTATTATTTTTACCTTGTTCATCGCGGACACGCTTGCCCCAGCGTTGATTAACATTTTCACCGCGTCCCTGTGTCCATACCGCGCGGCCATGTGTAAAGGGCGCATGCCGAACTTGAAACATTGCGAGCAAAATTAAATTACATTTTATCAAATTCGCACGAAATTTGTGCAGCGCCGAGTAAAGATTACAGCCGCAGATTTGTCAGCAATTTCGTTGAAATTTAATATGAACCTCGCTAAAAGCGGTCAACGGAACATGCATACGAGATTCAAGATTAAAAGGCAATTATTATTCGAAGGTAATAATGGACGAACGAAATCATATCGAATATGATTCATTTATTCGCTCTAGTATTTAACGCATTGATTAATTCGATGCATTACCTTATCTTTGGCTTCGATGTCGCATTTCGATTGTATCAGCATCTCGATGATCTCTGTGTTGCCTCTGGATGCTGCCCAATGAATTGGTGCTCTACCATACTAAATAATCATTTGTTATATTTAAATTCATGACATCGTGGCAACAGCAATGAAATTTCAAGTGATATGTCACGTATTTGGTCAGACAAGGATCTCGACGCAACCGCATCGCGTTACCTGGCACTTTTATCGCGTAATACACATTGCATGGTGTTACAGATAAGACAGGAGAGTAAAGTGGGACTGTTGTGTCTGCCTTTGAATCGAGAAATTCGATTTTATATATCAAGAAATTGCATTCGAATTAAACGCGATACGATTGCGGTGTATTTTCTTCGAGGTTCTTTCCTTTCACGGTTACAATTGTTCCATCGCAAACAGTTTATCGAGCTGGAAAATTCAATTTTCTCGTAGCTTACATTATTTTTCGAGTTGACGTCGACGGTTTCTTTGAGCACTTTCCGAACGGTGTCCGCTTCGTTCTTAATTACGGCTTCGTATAGCAAAAGATCGTTCTTAAGTACTGGCAAACAGAAGTATTTCCATAATTATTTCTTTCAAAAACAAACAGTAGATTTAATCAATGAGGGGATGATTTTGAGAAATTCTCACAAATGTATTCGTTGATTTAAAATAAAAAAGTAGAGGATGGAAGGAGCAAGTCAATTTGTTATTTTCTCGAGGGAGGAAACTTACTTCTAGCAGACTTTTGGTTCAACACCTCTTCCTCGATTGCCTCGTTGATATTCAAGGGTGAGGGTGTCTTCGTTAATTCCCCTTTGTCCTCCATTGTTTCCTCTATCGTTCTTTTTTCCTCTACATGTTTATTTATCCCGTGTAAACGTTACATCTGCAAACGAAACACCGTACATTTTTTCACGTGTTTCGTCTCGTTCGAAATCAGGTTTTCGTTTCAATTAAAATCGATAAGTGGCCGCACGCTGCCCCGCGGCGTTTAACTGACATAATTATACTCACGGTTTTGTTCGCGCACGTTTCACGATAGGTCGAGCTTATATTTATCACTCCACGTCGCTGGCTCGACTCAATGGCCGCGCTCGAATCAACGACGTTATTATGCAGCGAATCCGACGCTCAATTACGAAATTACGACGACAAGAGCGTTTCGCTTTATTCCTCGAACGACAGCGGTTTATCGACAAGAGTTTGATAGATCCTGATTGAACGTGAAATCGAGGTAAACGAAAGATCGCTTCAGGGGATAATTCAAGGATCGTACGTTCCACGGAAAGTCCTCGCGAAACTTTACGTTCCGGTATAAAATATACTAGTTCGAAATTTTCAGAGAACCTAAGGATTAGTCGTTTCGAAGTTCCGGAAAACGATCTATTCCAGAACTGCACCGAAACCGTTCCAAGTTTTGCGAAACGATCCCTGTCGCTGTTGAACTTGCTAACTTTTATAAAAAGGTACACCCAAGTGTGCAGTATATTTCACGAAAGATTTTACGATTTTTTCTTTTAAACAATTTTCCTGATGCGGATCTAAATTCATCGTGGAAATTTATTTATATTCAACAACTTGGTAAATGTTTCAATTATATTCGCAGGACGATCGCAAAATTGAGAATTTCGTTGTAAATTGCATTTGATGGATACGTTGTTCCCAACCATATTCCTCTGTGCATGGTCAGAATTGAAACTTATGATCCTCGAGGCAGGGATGTAATCCAGGAGGCAAAGGAAGTTCCCATGACAGCTCGTATAACTCGACGAGAAATAAGTTTCAGGATGTCTGCCCGAGTCAGTCATCGTTTTCGCATAGGGGGGTCGTTTCAAACGCAGGCTACGCAGATATTTTTATCAAACGACTCTTTCAACGTTATCTATCCCTCGAAAGTATGCTCGCGAAATGTAATTCACGCTCGCTGCGCATGGAGGAGTAAAAAGTGTCGTCGGCAAAGATAGAAAAAGACGGCTCGCTTTGAATATACATATATAAATATGAAAAATTCTTCTTCCAGTTGAACGCTGCTTTTGTTCGTTTCGTTTCGCGTTCTCGGAAGAGGCATCGGATTAGTTTCAGAGAGGCACATCCGAGGAAACGTGTTGAATGGAAAAAGCACAGCATACGAGCCGAACTTTCCGATCTATTTTCACGAGGATCCCTTCGCGATGAAAATATTTCTATCGTTTTTCGCTGGCCTGGAGAATGTTCCAAAATACTGAACAACTCCAGCTGCGTGAAATTCACTGGTTGAAAGTCCGCGAGACGCAGACGGAATTGCGAATTGAAACAAAATTCTCCACGCTGGGGGAAGTTTAAATAGAAATTCTTTCCGTCGCTGCTTTCGTCGTCGATAATTTTACCGTTTTATTACGACGTTTGTTTTTATTTGCAATTCTTGCGGGATTTGCCGTAAACCTTTGAAATTTTTTAATTTTTCCACTCGGGTGCAATTGCAATGAAACGCGATCCTCGGTTGAAACGTTCGTCGCTGAAGTCATGGGTCAATCGGATTCTGGTGAATGATGATCGTTGCATAGTTCTGATCGCAACCCTGACTGTATTCGGAGATGGCATCGTTGAAATTCAAGCGAACCCTGTGTCGTAGGAAATTATTCATTACGACGCACTTTAGCTTTTGGAAATGGAGAACCACATTCGTGACTCAAGTTTCGCTGCAATTTTAATTGAAACATTTGCTTTGCTCTGATAAATATTCGTGGAATACGGAAAGTGGAGAAGGTTACGCAGACAATGGTCCAATTAAGGCAATCTTGCTCTTTCTTGAAATAATTGGAATTGCGCAAGAATTATGTCATTTTGCTTCTGGTGTTTCATTTTTACTGTTGCACGGTAATTGCCGTATCGATTCGTGCGATTATTCTTACACGACGAACGTCAAGCAGGAAAGAACGAAACTCCCCGAGCCTTCGATTGACCTACAAATAACTAAAACGGGAACGTTGGGAATATGTCGTTCATGTATCCGTCGACCAGTCGTATTTTTTAGGAATTATTTGTAAATTAAATAAAACAAAATATCAACTCGACAGCGGCGTAAAAGAGTTAAATGCGTGATTCAACCAGAAATAAATAATAAATTTTTCATTGGAGTGTTTTTTTTTTACGTATCAGGAGACAGATTTAATTGGCTCGTTCAAAGTAGGATTGAACGAGAAATCATGGAAATGATTTTTACGGAAAAAGATCGCTAAGCTAGATCGTCGGTGCGCTCCAATTAATGAAGCCGCGACTTCAGCGATTAATTAGACGGTTTTCAGGCCGACGGTAAATTTTATCAGCAGCGAATCGAGCGTTTAACTCGTCGCTTTTGACCCGATGATACGATAATCCGATGGCAGCTTTGTAATCCCTTCCCTGCTATCATCCTCGACACAGTAATTCAACTATGATCTTTTTGTTTAGAAAATAAATTAGTGATATTATTCTTAGTGGAACTTGTAATATCACGTATCTCTATTATCATTGATTCACCTGCAATAACATAGAATTTTCGAGGAAACGAATTCCAATAGCTCGTATCGTTTGTTTGCAGTAATCTCGTTATTCTCCGTAGATTAAACGCAACTTCAAATATTGAAAATATTATTTCAATAATGTTATGTAATTAATGGAGAGGATGAAATAACACAAGAAGAATATAGTACATAAACTACACCTTTTTCTTTGTTTTTTCTGTTTCATTTAAAAAAATACACGATAAATCTTTTCAGTAGATGAAGTTTATAAATATGGAAATCTAATAAGAAACCTTATCAATATTCAGAATGTTAATTTTTTTTAATAAAATATAAAATGGAATTAATGATTAAAAAATACTGAATACTCATCCTGTAATATCTATTTTTTGCCATTCGCGGGGACAGGTTTTTGCACTGACACTGCTAATAAAAACGTCGAACGTTTGTGAAGCGATCGATAACGTTCAACCTGGTCGACGAGCTCCGAAAAATTTAATTTAAAAAAAAAGTATCGAATTCGAAGAGTGCGGGAGAAAATGTTAAAAATATTCGCGCGGTTCGCTGAAATTCCTTTGTTTTCCCAGTGGATCAATGAGCCGGGCAAATAGAAGGGCGACCATTTACCTTGCAGTCGCACAATGAGAAGTCAAGTAATTAGCGGTAACCGTCCTCTGTTTGCTTTCCTTTCTGTTCCCACCGCCTACCGTCGTGAAAAATGAGTAAACCCGCGATACAACGGATAAAAAATGATCGTCGAGGCGACGACGCCTTCGTTAAAGCGACCAGCACACGTTTCCCGGACGCTTTTGTCCGGGAAATAAAAAGCGACGGAACGTCGTGGCTGTGTCAATGATAACTTTTCTCTTCCTATTCTCATTGGACCAGCCATTTCCTTTTCTTTTTCAGCAAATACAAACTTGACAGAGAGACCGGTACGATCGATGTCGATGTTTGCAACAAACTTTCAGATCAGAAAATAAAATTTTTATTTCAACAACCAGCAAAAACGCCGCAAGCGGTTACAGGCTAAAAATAAGCACAATACAAACGCGGTACAGTTCGCTACGTATTCTTTCCAATTTCCACTCCGTTTGTTTTTCCAACTGCGTTTTCTGATATTCCGCTCGTGCTACGTTATCATTTTTTTCTCTCTCTTTTCCTTTCCAAAGAGAAATTCTCGAATGGACACGTTGGCTGGTTACAATGAAAACAAGGGTATTTAGTAGGGATTTGATAATATCGATTATTCAGAATGTTAGGGATTAATATTCAAGCTAAACCTTTAATTTGTAACTGAGAATTAGTAGTGCAATTTAAGCAGATAATTTAACTAAATTCCTGGTATCATTTATCGTCGAGCTATATCGCTATTTTCCAGAAATTTTCTCGTTTCATTCGCTGCTTGTTAACTCATCGAAATTAGGACGGGATAAAATTCTCGTGATAGAAACAAAATCGATTATCGAGAGCAATCTGGTCGGCTTTGAAATCGAAAATAACGAGGTGGACGTGCTTCGTCAAAGTCACCTGTAAGAGGTAGTACTACGTACAAAAAATAAACGAGGTTCCTCTCTTCTGGACGTTAATTCATTGGATTTTTCATCAAATCGAGGACAATGTCCCAGGTGTTGGCGTTAACAATTTATTGTTTCACTATGAAAAATGTAACTCGTTCATCTACCACGCGGATTTAGTTTTTGATTAATTTCGTTATCTTCGGCACAGAAATTCCCGGACAGTTTTGGAAGAAATTGGTGTGCTTCGTGCGAAATCGCTATTTTCCCATCAACCCGACACAATGGTGCATTGTCGGGCACAGAAAAGATTCAATTTTTCTTACGACCTACCTCCAACATTGTCTATGAAACGTATTGCACCACCGGTGTAAGTAGGATCTTTTCTGTAGCGGGATAGGGCCACAAAATTTTATAGGATATTCGATATCAAGATATTAGAATAGTAGAATAGTAGAGTATTACAATATAGGAATATTAAAATATTAGAATATTAAAATAGTGGAATAGTAGAGTATTACATATGGGAATATTAGAATATTAAAATATTAACACACTAGAATTTTGGAATTTTGGAATCTTAGAATCTTAGAATATTAGAACCTTAGAATAGTGAAGAGGCTAATCTACAGTTTAGGAGAGAACAGATCCACGCTTGACCCAACCCCAATTTATTACACCTGTCTAAGTTACAATATCGTTTTTCACACATTACGCTTTGTTAACCATATCAATGCATCATGAATTTTAATGGCGACCTACCGATGTATTACAATCAATTATACGATCAGTTACGATGCTTTAAGCAGTTTCTGGATGGAAACGGAGTTTGCCAAGAGTTTGCACGACTATGCCAATAATTCAAGCATCCGAGCAAGACTTGGGGAGAATCTATACGTATTCCGGCTGCTCGGATATCGCTGCAACCGTATATTTGCGGATACAAAAATGTCTCTCACTTCGATTATCGATCGAAGCTTTCAATAACGATACGATCCGCTTACACGTTCGAACCACATTCTAATATGCACTGTGTCATGTTCGCGAAGAAATATTTGGTTTACCAGAAAACCGTGTGCGCGCAATTTAAACAGAAAATTCGATTTACAAGAATTTATCAACTTGTTTCATCTGCCCTAGAAAGTTTTAAAATTAGATAGCTTTCTCTGTTAAATTTATATCGAACGATTGGGTGTTAAAATTACCATTTCATACAATGTCGCGTACGCGGTTTGTTAAGGTAAATTAATAACGCGTTAAATAATCGGCGCCACTCGATTCTATGAATGCTGGAGCTATTAACCTAGATCGGGGCATTCCGTTTTTCGGGCTATAACTCAGTGAATGGTCGTCGATGCAGTCGTTCCACGATATACGTGGAACAAATCGTCCGAGGAACGCACGGAACTTCCATTTTTCAACCTTGTTTTCCCTTTTTTTCCTATATCCTGATGGTTGAAACGAGGAAAACACGCCTGTCGTGTCATTCGTTCAATCAAGCAAATAATTCGATCTCTATCGGAACGATTTCCTTTTGATTTTGATTCTCGACGATTCTCGGCGCGCCAGAGATTCTCTTGGCCAGAAGAAAATCAGAAATCAAGTATATTTATTGTTTTCATCAGTAGCATACTTTATTTTCTGAAGTGAGAAAGAATGGCGTGAAATTCGACGCTTCGTCGTTATTGAAGATTGTTTCCATCGTCTGCAATGTGTGTCGAGGGTATTTCACGGTAAACGATTCGCGAGGATGGTCTACTTTCCCCATGGAAATGGGAAATGGAACATTGTTTCGAGGCGTCGCATTCTTTTTCTGATAAAGGTCGTTAAATGAAACAGAAATTCGATTTTAAACTACACATTTATCATGATGTGTTGAAAGAAATTGGAATTGCTTCTATGATATATTTGACAAGGAATTAAAATAATTATTAACACTAGTAAAGAAATTAATTTTTTCTTTGAATTATTTTATTATATGAAACATGTAGTGATCCTGATGACAGAACACTGGTATTGAAATTGCTGGTGATTCCTTTTTGTAAAGAACGAATTAAACGCACGAACGAAGAGTCTGGGCAAAAATTACCGTTGAATTCAACCCTTTTGAAGCTTAATTGCACTCTGTCCGCCACTTCTTTTCTGTTTTTTCATCACCGACCCTCCCTTGCCCTCCAAACATTATGAAATTTTCTTCCACCGTGAAAGCGAACGGGGCTTATGAATACTCGGAAAGGACACCCGTAATTAGAAATATTTGATATCGTTTTCAACATGGAGATTACGTCATTGTAACAAAGTTATCAAGCGACGCGTCGTTTGCATCATTAATTGCCACCGGCAAACAGAAGGAAAATAGGGTTCAGTAGTGCGGTCACGCAATGATCGGACGGGGAGGTTTAACGATTTTCTTTTTTCTCCTCCTCGAATAGAAAGTAAAGTTCATCGTGCACACGATATAGGTAAACGAGAAACTTTTCGTCATAATTAATCCTTTCTTTGATGCTTGGAAAATCACGCAGCGACTCGGGCAAAATTCTGCTCTTCTTAGTCGAGCGAAGAGGAAAGAAAAACAAAAGGATGATATTGCTTCGAAGGAACTTTCTTCGAGCAACGTGTACTCTTTGATGCACTTCTTTTCTTCTTCCTTACTTCTCTCCTGTCACGCTTTCAAAGATTTTTAGAGAAGTTACCTCGGATGCATTGTTGTAAATTAGAGCGCGTTTGTCAACGGACACAATGGAAGCTTCGTGATTCTCTCTTTCCACGAAACTTTGCCTCGTTAACAGCACTAGCGCGAAGATAAGCTCGAAATTTGTGTTGTTAGAACGCGTCTTGTTCAAACAGACGATGTAACGAAAAGCAACCTTACCCCCCAAAAACGGGTACTATTTATTTTAAATATAAAAGGAAAATATATGCAATTGCCAAATTGGTAAATCAGTTTCCACGTTTCTATCTAGATAAAGTGAAAATAGACAAAGAACAACCCTTAGGGAAATCAATAGAGGAATGTTATTTCTATTTATAACAATCATCCCTAAAATATCCACAACGATTCAATTACCCCTTAAAAATAATTCTCTAACTCAGCCACAAAGGTTAATAACGTTTATCTATGAAACAGCATGGGTTGTTTGTTCATCGAACTTTTCCCTCAACACGTAAAGGTACACAAGATTCCAGAGCACGATAGAACCACGCAAACTGGAACGGGTGCGTGGCGGTATTGCGTGGCAATTCGAAAAAGCAAATTCCCCTGCCTCGTGGGGGTTGTAAGGTCGCCACAGGTCAGATGCTAAATGAATAGTACGCTGTCAATTAATTAGCCAAACTCACTCGATTGTAAATGTAGCTTCAGCAAAGCAGCTAGTATCGTCACGCCCTTTATCATTGTTCAATTACCGTGGGAAGCAACCCTACGCGTAATTAACACCCTTATGCATCCCCGATAAATATCTCGCGTAAACGTTTTCCAGTTATTTTATGTAAATTGTAAAATAATAAAAATTTTACTCACATGTTTTCGTGGAATACGTGGCTGCAGGGGTTGTTTACTTGTTACAGGCTGTTTAGGGAAGTCGAAGTCAGACGAAGGATGAGAGGGAAACGGATTTCTCTTTGAATGAGTTGCACGATGTTTACGGCACGATGGGCGGCATGCTACTGCCAGAATCATCCCCGTTTCACCCTCCGCACTCGCCCCATTATTAGGTCGACGGCAGCGCAGCTACGTGGTGGATTCAACGACTATGATAGGCTCCCACGTCCAGTCAATTTTCAAGTCCAACTTCGATACTTCTTCTTACATTGTATTTCTATATATCCTTTATTATTACAATTATGGGATACCTCGAACCTTATGAATTATAAATTTATTAAGTTATTCCGTGACAAATAGCAGATTTTGAAACATCGAAAATCTGACACGATTTGATGACACAAAAGTTTTGCAAAATGATACCTATAGCAGATCAAAATAAAGCTTAAGGTGTAACAAAAATAATTACATAAATAATTCATCGATATTCTCAATATAAAGTTCTTAGTTATAAAAAACTTTTTGATCGTGTAAGTTAAAATCAATGTAATTCTTTTCAACAGGTGCTTTGGAAGATTCAATTAGAGTAATCGAGGTTTAATTAAAAGTGGAAGAAAGTTGGAAGGTTTACTTCGCGGTTACTAATGGGACGCTGAAGACCTTAATTAATGGGATTCGAATGTCGTGACATTTTTATCGCGTGATCAACGAATTACTGTCGTATCGTGCATGAACCGAGATGGAATTGGATGATTTATTTTTATAAGCTAGGATCAGTGTGGACCGCGCGAAAGCACTGATTTATTATTCACTCAAGATCTCTGAATATAGAAAGAGTTTTCGAGTGAAACTATCATGTGATTCTATCATAATTCAGGGAGTGTAATTTATACATCAATCTCTTTTTAGAACCTCAAAAAATTTAGAAAAACACGATATCTATTGGTTCAATTGAATTCTCAATTGTTTTCCTCAATTTCAACATAAATCAGGATCTTTGTCAGATGCAATTGAAGAAGATAAGCTGTAAGTAAGCTAAATGCAATCCAAATCTTCGTCAGTTTGTGTCATCGATCAAGTGGTTCCCTCTCAAATTACGACACGAAATACTCGGTTAATTTATCAAACTGTTACAATCCTCGCCTGCATAATTAATTCTGGCTAACGTCGTGTCAACTGATAAGGCAATCTTTAATGATCGTAAGCACATCGAGCACGGATTAATTTGCATTTCAATTATATCTTTCCCCTTTCATCGCTAAGGATTTATGTACCGAAAGTAAATCATGGAAAAGAAAACAGAAATAAATTTCTGAATATTCTTTAATCTCGAACTGGGGTCTTGATCGATACGAAAACAATGAGAGCTAGATTTTCCATTTAAAACGGAGAAAAAACTTGTGGGAACAGCCACGAGTTATGTTTGACACTTGGAAACATGGAATTCCTGGCCGCTTCAGAGGGTAGATCAGTTACGTGAGAATTTCATCTAGACCCGTTCTTAAGGGGTGGAATGGCGGGCGAGCTACGCTAATAGCTTTCACCATATTTTACGACAAACGTTTTCAGGTTACGTATTACCACGGAATATTCGCGCGATCTCAGTGAACTTGCATTTTTTCGCAAAAATTCGAATGATTTATCGTTGCAACGCGTGACCAAAGAGATCGCGGCTACGATATTGCTTGTTTCCATCATTGAAGCACGGTCATTAACCCTTCGTGGATGTTGATAGAATGTTTTTCACACAGCAGCGTTGATTGGTATACTAGGAATAGCCATGATCGATTAATATTTTTTCCCCCATCATTTTATACGCACGATAGGATCATCGGGAATATTAATCTTCCTCGTAAATTATGTTCGATTTTTCGGGACTGTTGAAAGCGGGAAGCGTTTCTCGATTAGAAGTAAGAATTTTAAACAAGTTTAATTGCATTTCTCCGACACGGAAGAATATCAGAACTCGGTCACGTTCTATTTAAAATGTGTTCCCTCTTCTTCCCGTCTTCCAGGTAGAACCACGAGGATAATAATATCTTGTTCGTGGAATGATTTTAATTGAAGACTTAGAAATTCGTCTATCAATTCGCGCTATTCTTCCCTATAGATACCAAGAATCAAGAAGAGGTCTTAGAATTATTAAATTTTGAATTTCTATTCTGGATCAGTTTAAACTTAAACCAAGCAGGAAGATAAAAAATTCAAGGATGTACTAATATTTCTTAAGTAATTGAAGCTCTACGAGTTTCCCCTCGAAAGCTTGCTAAAGGTTCTCGAATTACGCAAATCTTGATCTACCACAAAGCACTTTCTGTTGTTGGAACAGCTCCTCAAGTTTCATCTTTGTTTGTTACATATTGCAAGATCCTGAGAGTCACCGCAAACGCAAGCAGGTACATACTTGTCTCGCTGCGCGGGAATAATGGGAATTTCTGCTCTGAAATGTTGTTCAAGATATAATAGTGAGGCACTTGGCTGGGTAATGGTATTTGAATGTGTTGCTCTACAGAGAACATTTGATGTTTCATTTTCTAAAAGTTATCGTGGGAAACATTGATTGCCAAGGTGGTGGCTGGAGGGCAACACAAATTTAATATACCTAAATAATTATAAAAATAATTTTGAATATTATAATAGTAACACGAGGTATTGAATTGCGAACTTAAATTGAAAACTTAAACGATGAACCTTTGTTCATAAAAATTCATCCCACCAATCTCTTTCGTCTATATCAGTTGCCTCTTGAATTTCTGAATCCAGTTTGTTGTGCTCCTCCTCGAACACCGGTTTTATTGGTCGATTTGCATGAATAAATTCGTCCTGCAACAAAAGATGTACATCATCGTATTAAATCCTGCTCCTTTTATTAAAACTTTATGCGACCAGGAAATTTTTTCCTTCGCCGTGGCGTCCAATTTGCGCACGTATTGTTCCATGAAACTAGAAAATGTAAAATTGTCCGTATTCACTCACGGTTTTTCGAATTCGATTGTAGTTCTGGTCGTAAATTCGTGGCCCGTTTTTACGATACTCCGGAGGCTCCCTTGTCCCGTGTAGAATCAACGCAAACGCTTCTATTGTGCCATTATTCTCTTTTGGACCGATCTGTTGAACAAGAATTCACGAATTCGGGTCAGTAGAGACTGATTCGTTCGTCACTGGTACAGTAAGTTAGCAGCGGATATTTTCCCGAAAATAAATCACCTCGTCGAGAATGTCTAAGGTCCAGGTGCCGCGTGGATCTTCACCCCAAGATGCCACTGACATGAATTTCCAACTCTCGAAACCCGAATCTGAATTGTCTAGTCTCCTTGGTTTTAGTAACTGCACATTTGTTCCTTAAGATAATAAAAAACCTATTAATAATTTATTTCTCTATTAACATGTGAAAATATTCATAATATGAGAGAAATACATGTACATAAATTTTACACAAAATATGTACAGAATAAAGGATATATTTTTGCAACCGTTTAATCACAACAAGTTTCTATTTGTAATTTCCATTTTTATTGACAATTACGAAATTATTGAAGATCGATAAAGTGATTGTTTTATCGAAGTGAATATCATTCGAGTTTGTATACTAAATATTTGCATTCGTTTTTGGTTGACCGAATTCACGTTTCGTTGGCTTCCGTTATTTTACGAATATTCCCCGATGTATTTACGCACGCAACAACGATTATTAATAGTATAACAGAAATCCGTGTATGGATTGGAATCGTTGCAACAATGGTCGAGCAAATCTTTTCCACTGATTCGAATTACCTCGATTGTATCACCACAGTATATAAACTAATTATTCTCCTTTTATATTCTTTTAATGAAGATATTCTCATTTATGATATTTGAAACACGTAACTTTGAAATAATTCATTTTGAAGAAATGTAAAATGCAAACTGGGCTAATCCCAGTTTGATTGTTAAAATACCTCACCAAAAGAAAGACATCAAAGTGAAAGATTTCTCTTTCGGCACTCTCTGTATTTCACAGTCATAAATCCAGACTCTTGACTGTTCCATCGCTTGGGAATAGTTCAGGACACAAAATCGATCTCGATAGATGTCGTACACCTCACTCGTGTTCGTGTACACTGTAAAAATCTTATTTCCAAGACGTTTTCCACGAACGGTTTCGACTTGACGCTGCGAAATCCCTTCGAAACGGCGATAAACGCGCGACCGAGCGAAACAGATATCTCAAAGTGCAGTAAAATGCATCGTTGCGGTGCATAAAAACGTTTCGTTTGACATTCGAACCGTGAAAACTTTTGGCAAAAGCTTCGTGTAAATAAACATGAATAAATATACAATATTTTGATCAATATATTCGGCGATAAAAATTTATAATATTCAGTATTAAAGCGATAGCAGCGATGACGTTGTTAAGCGACTGAACGACCTTCGAAGGTTTACAGACTGGCGCAAACGTAAAGTGCATACCTGAGGGTGCAGTCAGGTGCATCTGAAGAGCACCACGAAGACTGTACTCGAGGCTGACCTCGATCTCTACGTGTTCTAAAAACGTTATCTCGTTCCCAGTCGATCGACACTCGTCTTCTGTCTCGAATCGCAGCTTCCTTGTATCTCCATAAGCCAGCCTCTTGTCAATTCTAAATCAAAGAGCAATTCTTAAGAAAATATAAAAATACCATAAGTGATACATGACTGATAAAAATCCATTACTAGCTTTGTACACAATGGACGATTTTTTTATTATTGTACACCATGATGAAAGGGTTAACTGTCAAAATGGAGAAGCATTCTGTTTCGAAAATCGATCAGGGCGCTTTAAATATTAAACGATACAACTGGCTGATATCGTGCAAACGTCGTGTGGCAACGGATGGATTAAAGTTTCGTGAAGAGTGCAAGAGAGAAGTCGAAACTTTGAAATGGAAACCTTCTAGCTATTTACTTTTCAAGAGTTGCGTTACACGTTTACCGAAGAAAATGCCTTTTGAAAGCAAAATAATGCTTTTGTCGTTGATTATTCAGCAGAAGTATCGTCAATAATGCATCAAAGTTACGTTGAACGTTGCTTGAAACTTGACAAAAATTGCTTCGATTAAATATTGTTCAGGTACGAGGAAACGTTGCTTGGAAATTTAAATGAAAACTTCAGGATGCCGGACGTGTTTTCTTCGGGGCTGAAATCGTGCTAGCAGAGATAAGCTTTGCGAGGAATTGCAAGAAGCGTACGAAAAGTCCTCGAGACGTTCCACTTTTACAACTGTCTTCTTCGGTAACGAACACGCGAAGCCCTCTTTTCGGCATGTTGAATTTAACGACGTAAAGTTGCTGCGCTTTTTCAAGCATCAAGGACAGACGGAAGCTCTTCTGGAACTTTAAAAGCAAGAAACTGCATGCACACATGTAATTCATCTTTCAATTTTTCATCGTTTAAGAAATGTACTTTAGAAAGAAGGAAGCAGTTAATTTTCCTGCAATTTTACCGAAGGGAACTGACATTTTGTAACGTCGAAAACTTGTTCGAATATTCGATTTTCACGCTGTTTAAAGCACTGTTCGGAATCACGTACAACCGTGGTAATCTAAATGGACCATGAGTGGCAAATCCTACGTGTGTGGTTCTGACAATGGTATCGATTAGCGAACGTCTATATTTCGTTCTAGAAACCTGATCGATTTTTCATTTCATGGTCTCTTAGGTAAATTAATAGAAATTTAATTGGAGTAATGTTTCAGTCCTTACCAAACCGTTTATATTATTCAACAATCTATAACAAATAAGGTCAATGAGTGACCTACATTCAACAATTTTATAAATTCAAAATTTTAAATTAAAGAGAGAAAAGAAATTACGTGTAATTAGTGATGTGCTCTTTTTCATTAAATTTTCTTCTCTGTCGTGCAAAATACTTGGAAACTCGGATAATAAATTAGAAGGGAAGATCAAATTTCCCAACAGAATTACTCACACTCTAGAGACGTCCACTTTGCAGATGATTTTCCCCGGTACGGTTGTCCAATTGGAACTCGCCGTGACCAACGTGTACGCGTTCATAAGTCCGAAGCCGAAACGTGAGTTGAACCAGAATCCAGCGGAGTTTCTAAACCATCCTGGATTCTCCCTGAATGTTCATGCAATTACGGTACTCAACAAAGTGAAAGAAAGAGTGGCCAACGTAAAATGAAACGGTTTCCAGTAAAATGCCAAGTAATCCTTTTTTTACGCGTCAAGGGATGTATGTATCTTACCATTGAAACTGCGAAACACGGTTTTAATTTAACACCTTTCTACGTTTGAAAGATTAGAGCTTCCTTTTAACAGGTTTCCTACTTGCAAGAGAATCTCATCTTGTAACATTGTAAATAGAATTTTCACAAGTATTATACGATACAAAGTTTATTTTCCCATCGAAGAAATTTTATTTTATTTATCTAACTGAAAGTATTGCTACAAATATTTAAGCTGGATATTTGAACGCTGGCTGAAGGAAAAGTTAAATCGCAAAAGAGGAGTACAATTCATCGGGCACGGCCGGAGAAAAGGCTAAAGATGAAAGCTCTTTCTTTGAGTGGTGTAAGCACGTTGTGACCCTGAGTGTCGGTCAAAGTAGGCGCAAAATGAAGGCTACCGGGCTATTATTTCAATCAGGGAAAGCAACGATCCCCGCTTCCTATCCGCTTTACCTCAATTACTGTTTCGCCGTAGAAGCAGCACGACCTACATTTGCCCGTCGCTCGCGAAACGAATGAGAATGACGTGATATTTTAATCCGGCGTGATTCGTGTTGCGCAACGAGATGAACACCCTTGTTATCTCGCGAGAATAATTTTTACCCTCTCTAACAAATCGTGCGAAACGTTCCTCAGATATTAGAATAGAATTTCAGAAAACCAGTGTTACCTAGATCATACATTCAATAATTTGTTTATAACTTTGGAAGAAAGCGTTTATAATCCACCTTTATATAATATTCTATTTTAATTATAATCTACAAAATATTAAAATTAAATATTAAAGTAGCGTTAAATTTGTTAAACAATTACATCCTGAAGAAATGAAAAATATTTAAACAAAATATGCGCTGGGGTAGCCTGAGATGTGCTCTTGATAATGCAATTGGACCGAAGTCGATATCTTCATTGGTTCCTGAGATATGGAGGTCTAAAGTGCAGCGCCAACATGGGGGTCATGAATGGGGCCCGCGTACCCGGAAGCACTACTGACCTATACCGCAGTTCACCAGAGTCCATAACTGCGAAAAGACCAGTTTCCGTTCTTTCGTGCGCATCTTCGCCCTGATTGGCGGTACTCCCACACGAAGTGGAAAGCGATTAGCGGAGACCTCGCGGCTAGTTATAGACTCTGGTGAACTTATACATTTTTTCCTGGAAATGCGTACGTCGAGTAGTAATAGTGAAAAATAACACGTGACGCAGCGTCTGACCACTCATTGACTTCGATCACTGAAAATGTGCCAGTGGGACGCAACTTCGAAAATTATGCACCTCTTCAAACAACGATATCTCGGAAACTAAAAGTCCTATCGACATGAATCGAACGTCATTTTAAAGAGGAAGATCCCCTCTTTCTAACAACACCACATACGTTACAGGATAATGGATAGTTTTAAAATGGCAGATGTTCAAAGTTATATTTTCAAACTTATATTTTGATTATACATTGATCAGTTTTAATTTATTTAGCTTGTGACTTTGTTATTATTAACGTAATTTGTTGGAAAATAATTTTGATGATCCATATTTAATGCAATTAAAAGCTCTTGTAAGTTATATTAAAAATATGTAGGTCAAAAAATTTAATTTCTAAATTATAAATAAAAGTATTAAGACGCTTTATGCAGGCTAAAAGTAGACTTACCTAAGAGGACTGTACTCTGAGGTCCAAACGATGAGATGCTGCACGTCCCTCCACGTCAGATCCTTGCTTCAAGATAACAATTAAACACTTTCAATTACTTCATTCATCAAGTGACACATAAAACTTGATCACCTGTGCCCCGTTAAAACTGCATTAACGAAACAAAAGTTGAGCAAAGAGGCTGAGAAAGAAAATTATGCATCTAGCACGTACTTTACTTGCAAAGCTAAGGCCAGTATTCCAGCGGCTAATGGAGCGGACGCGGAAGTGCCGGTGTGCCTGGTCGTGCAGGTGTTTCTCAAGTCTGTTGTCGCCTGTAAAGACGGAAACGGAGTCCATTAAATTATTCTGCATCCTCTGTGCTCTATTCTGCAATCCGGAACGGGGCTGAATATTGGTTAAAATTGATTTAGGCGGTACTGCACTCGAACCTTGCATCGTTCGATTAATTTTCACGGAATAAAGCATCGCTTAGTTCGAGTAAAGTTAAATTAAATATGAAACAAATATCAGAATATACACGGGTAAAATTGTTTTACGTACTATCATTTGATCGTGATAAGCACCGCTGCTGTAGGTAGTCGCTAATGTAGCTGGACAGCTTTCGCCGTACCATGGAAATCGTCCAGTTTGACTGGCGGATCCAACAGCGATCGTGTAAATGCTTCCTACGTACCCATCGCATCCGCAGTCGTCGGATTTCGAGCCTCCGTTTCCGGAAGCCCATACGTAAATGCTACCCTTACCATATCTGCCCTAAATAATCGCGATCGAACGAACATACAACATATTATTATATAGTTTAATTTTGAATATTATTCTTCCCATACAAAAAATCTCGTTTTCAAAGCTTTCACGCGATACACTCTTCATAAAAGTTTCATTTTTACCCAGAAACGCCAGGGATTTCGAAACTTCCTCGAAACTTTACGTGTTACTTTTTTCCTCGTTTTAAAGTTAACCAGGATTTCGAAGTAGTTTCGCGAGAAAGCCGGGGAGAAAGAGAGGGAAGTAATTAGGAAGAAAAGGAATTCTTATTATCGCCGGGGCGTTCAGAAAATTCTTAACGCGTAAATATTGCGACGACTGTACCTAACAAGACGGTCGCCTTGTTCAAAGTAATTAACGTTCCAGGTAATTGGACGCTGCTGACCCACGATTTTAATGCGTCCAGAGTTTGTCGCCAGTTGTAAACTCGACTTGTCGACGATAATTAAACGCGATGTCCAATTGCAATGTTTTAATTAGAAATTTCTCTACTTGCCGTCGTAATGCCCTTTTCGAGAGCCTCCGCGGCCAGTCTTCCCGGTGCCTCTAAACTTTTCCCATCGTCCGCTGGCCCCCAGGAGGCCGTGTAAATGTCCACCAGTTCCGGTTTGTATCCGAGCGCCTCTCCCTCGACGCGATCGTTCACCAGACCGTCGAGAAGCTTGATTCCACCAACGGAAGCCTCGAAGGCGACTCCTACACCGCATTTCCGGTTGTTCGCCTCCATTGCTATCTCTCCCGCACACCTCGTGCCGTGACCGTTCGTCTCTGGGGGCGATGAATAAATTGCAACGTGCGAAGAAAGTAATAAAAAATAATGACTCGAACGTGGTTCTTCATGGTTGAAATGCTTTCCATTTGCAGGAAATTGAAGGTAGATAAAAATAAGATTATTCATTAAATTTTTTATGTTTATAGAAGAGGGAAAATAATGGAGCAAAATTGAGGATAAAATTTTGTGGGTTTCTATACAATGGTGCTTTATGGTAAGCGATAACACGTACCTGATGATTCGTATCGCGGCAATGGATCGTCGTCGCCCTCGTTCACGTCGTAACTAATTGATGGATCCTGTACAACCCATTAAGGATCAAATTTTGGGCACTGAGATGAAATTTGGATAATTAAACTGCGATATTATTTTTATATTTTGCTCGTTATTTTGCTAAATGCTCCAGTTTTTAAATAGAACTTATGATAAAAAACAAGTCGACACCTTTAATTATGAAGAATATTTAGTATTTCCAAGATATCCAAAGATTAAGAGACGTCTCTCGTCATCTGTGAGTTGTAAGAGGTAACTCCTAGCAAAATTTTCTATAACTCACGTAATTGTTACGCAGGTCGTCGTGGGTGTATTCCAACCCATCGTCCAAAACAGCGATTTTGACCCCGCGACCTGTTACCCCCAGTCGATAGAGGGGTAGAACGTTTAGATCTAGCTTGGGTAGAGCCGTGTTCAACCTCGTATCTTGCTGCAACCGTTGATAAAGAAGTGTTACCACGTGGTAACTGGATCAAACCAGGGGTGGTTTACCCTCAACTGCTTCAATATTGATTTTATTCTACATTGATTTTCCCCAATCGTTACCTCTTTTACACAGCAATTTTCTTTCTACTAGGTCAACCCCAAAATTCGTGCCATAAGAAAACGTCTTTCAAGACATGTTTTATAAAATAAAGAATTGATAATTATCGATATGAAAAATGTCTCGAATTTTAAAGATGATTATTGTTTCATTTTAGTCATTTACCAAATACCATTCTTGATCCCATAATTCATCGTTGAACATGAACTTAGAATCATCTGGCTCATATTCTTGCCAATTTCTGTCATTTTCCTCCACACTATTCAAACGATACTGATCTAACTCCAGTCTCTTCTCCCTTATCAAGGGTTTCTCCGGATCGTATCTGGATAACGATATGTAATCGCGTTTGTATCGCTCTATCGCCTTCTGCTGATCTGCCCAAATGATCTTCAAGAAAGAAAAATCGTGTCAGAGGACGCGTTAGCTTTTCACCGCGACTCTGAACGGACGAGAAACGATTACCTTGGTGCTGGAATTCAAAGCTTTTGTTAAACGAAGCCCGCCTCTCTTCTTATGACCACGGCTGTCATCCTTAAGCCATACGTACGTGTCCTTGAATCCGAGGACCTAAATCAACACACGCGTTACATGTAAAATTTATAAAGAGAACAGTTTCAATCATCTCTCCAGTTTGTTCTCCGCAAACAAATTCTTGTGCCCGAACGTGTACGCAAATATTGCTTCATAAAAATTCAAATTAACGGTGCACCGATATCCTAGCTTTGCGATATTGCTCCCACTTGTTCCACCACTCTTATTTCATCCTAACAGTTAGAAAATTATGCAATTACAAGAAACAAGAGTTCTGAGCAGCATTAATATTACATTCATTCTGTAAAGTAGCAGATAAAACTTGTTAATAATTTATAATTTAAAAAATATCCGAATGGAATCAATTGCTCTATAACAGCCACGAATCCCAAAGAAACAAAAACAACCCAGGTTAAAAGTGTTTCACTGTAACCGACCCAAAGCACGTAGAGCCGTGAAATTCAGGAACAAGAAGCAAGACGATTTCATCCTTCAATTTCGAGGGTGTCAGCCAGTCCCCTTAAATCGAGCACCCTTCGCAGCTCGAACGTCGAGGGTGAAACACAACGTCGCGACGTTCCAGCCCTTCGAACGATCCAAAGGGACGCTTCGATCAGGATAACACGAGAAGACAGTAGGTCTTCCGATCGTGAGACTTTCCATGAGCCATCGGAGGTTTAAGCATGAGTATCGTGACGATATTATTATCCGTCGCCACGTGCTGCTGTTTTTGTAGGGTCTCCCATGTGTCGCACGTTTCCTATGGGAAGAGGGGCCACCTGGTCGAGGAGAAGCCATGATATTTCCGTAACGAGCGACGCGTGCCTTTTATTTCGATCCACCTCCTGACACTCGGATTTTCCGACACCGCTCCTGATACTTTATCGATCCAACCGTACCCTGATTGATGGATATCGTGGTGGTGGCTGCGTGTGTCGGTGTAATAGGGTGCGACGCATGGGGCTGTTGCAGGTGTAAATTAAACACACGATTCATGGTCAGTTAAAGAAGAAAAACAGCCAAGATGATAATTGATTTTCGAATTTGAGAACGCCTTAAATTCAAAATGAGTTTCAAGGTTTTACATAAAAGCCTCTCTGTATTACGAACACTGTGTAAACTTGCAAACGTCAATTGTAAATAAATAAACTACACGTTGCATAAATTGAATGCATCTGGCTGTGCAATCAAATGTTGGATTTTCTCTTTATCGGTGTAACATTGTGTTTCGTTGGGTCGTGTTTGCGACGTCCCAGTTGCGATTAAAAATACAACGAAATATTCGAAACATCCGCATCAGGACAAATATCGTATCGCGATGTCACGAAATTTTATAAACGTACAATCGAATCAACTTTGACGTTTCAAACGGTTCGTCGTCGAAATGAATATCACGTGTCGAGATAGTAGACGGAAAATTTTGGTTCCGTTCGTTTCGAGAGCTCATCACGGATTAACGCAGACCGCGTTCCACAATTTTCCGCATTAATTAGTAGTCGAAGACATTTTAACGTGTTCCATGTGTACACGCGCGAACGCGATAACACCTGACCCCGAAATTACGGTCGATTTAATCGTCGAAAAACGCTCGGCCGGCGTGACAATGTTACGCGATATTACGATAGGCTCAAGAGTGACCCCAATTTTCATCGAATCGCATCAGCGTGGAAAACAAAGGCCATAGAAATCCGTTATGAAACAATAATCCCGCATCTGGTCGGGTTAGGTTGCCGGGAAAAAGAAGGAAAAACTACCCTGTAATCCTGTATCCATTATATGGAACGAATTCAATCGGTCATCGAGCCAAACGATAAACGACTGAATATCCTCTCGACGAGTATACACGCTTGTTTCCGATGTTTCCTATTTTTTTTTTTTTTTTTTTCACCTGTGCACTCTACCTGTCTGTCTATTTGTTTATTTTATTTTTGACGGATTTTTTTCTCTTGCTCCCCTAGTTTCGACACGCACACACAAATTATGTGTCGTGCGTGTTAACGATCGCGCGTGATCGGGTAAGCAGTTACCGATTTTTCCGCCAGCGGGGTTCGATATCGGTGCCATCGCGGCTTCCGGCACGCAGGAAGTTGAAACGCGGAATTTACATGGACAACACTCGGCCCTGCAAATAATTTCACAGACAGCTAAGAAGATTTATTGGTCCGATATTGTTTGTTGGCCGATTGCGTTAATGCCAGGCTGCATCGTGCATTTTTCATTCCATTTCAATGATCAGAATTGACGGATAAAATTGAAAGAATATTCTTGAAAAATCATTATCCTCTTTATCCTGATTTTCTCGTCTCGATTACTCGTCGAGATCGAACCTTCTTTCCTGCGGAAGTAGCAATTTTGAAATGGGACATGTTCGACGGGACTCGTCTTAAATTCCACGTGGGACGCTTCAAACTCGAATCCGTCTGTTACGTGATAATGACTCGGTCGCCTGTGTCCCCGTGGCAATCGAGGTTCTACCTTGTCCGAAACTACCCTCGAGACGGGCCTCTCTCGTGCGCCTCTCCCTTGTGTTTGTTAACCCTTGCAGTAACACCAACCAATATGTGCGCTCAGCGAAATCCCTAGATTTGGTCCGCAGACGCATATACGTTCCGTATGATTTATCGTCCGATGGTGCGTTCTGCAAAGACCATTTCGATAATCTCCTCGTTAACTCCTGTTTGTTGCTTCGCGATATCACAGCTCTGCCTTGTTATTGTTAGAAGAATAATTACAATATCTTTGATCGATAATAATTTTTGATACCAGGGTGTGTTCCAGAAGCCAGGCTCGAATGCAAGCAAGAAATCAGAGCTGCTCATTACTTCACGATCAACCGGTTCGTCTTATCGGTCGGTCGAATTGCGGTCGATCGTCTCTCTAGTGGGGAAGTATCAGGAAGATCGAGGCCATCCAGGTCGGTTTGTAACAGTGTTCGTGCAAACGACTGATTCTAGATGCGCCAGAGGGAAAGGAACGAGATGTAGAGAGAGTGCGAGGGCAAGGTAGAGGGAGCATTTTCGCAGTCCATTTGTTTTGATCGGATTTCCAACTGTCTCTGGTAATCCCGCGGCAGTAAGCTCCCGCAGGCGTCGTCAGAATCCAATGAAAACCCTAACGTTTCCCTATCCTACGTGGGCCAGAGACACCTTCCCTCGTGTTCGTGCTACGGCCACACCTTCTCCGTGAATTCCTCCCTCGTATTATCGCTGTCTACGACCCTGTTTCCCGCTTTGCTTCCTTTTCCTTCCATTTCTTTCCTTCATAGAGTAGATTACCAACGGTGGTGCGTAAACGTTTAGAACTTCAACTTGTTCGAACGAACTATGACTGGCATTCTTTCAGCAACTGGTTCAACCCTTTCATTTTTTCAATAAAACAAATGGAGCAGAATGCAGCGACGTTTGTTCATGCATAACACGATTCTACCAAAAACTATTCCCATTTTTCCCTCGTGTTTTTTCTAGCTCTGCACAAAAAATAGGTGAGCTTTTATTCGTGTAAAAAAATGGTACGAACCAGTCCACAAATTCGCCACGTTTCCCATCCGCTCCATCCGTTTCCCATCATCCTCGAGATGTTTTTATCTCCAATTTCAATTCTTACAGGGTTTGCACGCGATACCAGCGTGTTTCCGCTCGTATTCATCGACGTATCCGGCTCCATCTGGAAGATTGTTTCGTTCGCGTTCGCGCATAAGCAGCCACCTACGATTATCACTTTCGCGTATCGATGTATAAACACCGCGAGGGTTCTGCGATCATTCCAGCCACGAAACTGCCACTCAACCCTCCTGAATTTAATGTATGTAATTGAATTTGCAGTACTCGTGCTGGCAACCCGTAATCTCGAGCAACGCGCACACGCTTGGACCGCAGCGACGTTGAACGATATACGATTATTACACTGGATAAAATTAAATGACGCGATCCGCGAGCAATATCTGCGAAATTTGAGAGAATTTCTTGTAATTTAGAAGAAACTTTCCAGCGGTGTTCCAGTAACCGGGCAGTTAAGTTTGTATCGAAGGTTTGCGATCAATTTAGAAAGTTGATTTAGAGTTTCCTTTGTTTTACGGTCTATGGATTTTTCAATCTCCGGAATTGTGTTATCTCGTCGGTAAGAAGTTTAAGAAATACACGAAAACTCTTAGGGTATACGTAAACTCGATGGTTCAGTTTCGATGCAGTTTTTGGAGCACGTTCATCGCAGAAATGAACGCGTCAAAAATTCGAACAGATATCGGAGATTCAACGTTTGATCCGTCACAAAGAGTGATTCTTTTAAAGAGAAGTTGTTTGTGCAGCGAACAGGCAGGGGCGTACAATACGTAGAAAATTGAATTATTGAAGGCAATCTTTGAAACTATGCTACGTCGCATCCGACGTCAAAGTCAAAGTTTTAATTGAAATCAACGGCGTAACCAGCGGTCACGTGAATCTGGTCAAAGAGGAGCCCCGGCTAGTTTCATACACTCGATCTCACTTAACTCTTGAACCTATTAGTATCGTATCGATTACGTTATGTATCGGAATTACGTGGCTGACACGCTCGTAAACTAGTACCTAATTTCACGGCAATATCGTGTTGGGGAGTTGCTGCTTACCGCGACGCCATCGTGGATCAATTATTCGAAAGCAGAAACTTGGAAAAAAATTGCCATTAATAAGATTTAGCCTAAAATACTACATTTTTCAAATCAAAATTTAGTCGACCACGAGAAAGTGGAATATAACGCTGATCTAAACCGCTTCTGTCGTATACGCTTCCGCCAAAGAAGCGGATGTCAATGTAACAAGATGTTTGCCGACGTAGCACGGGTCGAAGGATCGTCGATGGGAAATATCGAGGTCAAAGTTGACCGGAGATCGAAGATCAAATATCGAGATCTGGTCTACTCGAGGCAAGATTAAACCTTTCCGAAGGTAGAAAGCTAACGAAGGCGAATACCAGGCAGCAGGTAGCTGTGACATCTGTCAACCCCCGTAACAGGGAAGTTCATTATGGCGTTCAGCAGGGCGCCACGTCATTTATATCAATTACTGCCAAACGCTAAGCTGAATCGGCGGCCTCAATTATTTAAGGAACGTCATTAATGCTTGCAGGAGGAAACGTTAAAAATGCCATGATCAGGTCGTTTTGGGTTCAAAGAATTCTTCAGATCGTATTCGTTATTGTTGTAACATTTTATCGTTAGCCAATTATCTTTCAAAGATTTTTAATACCAACTACTTCCTCCTTTTATGCGATTACGTGTCATTCGATTAGGCGGGAATAAAGAAAATACTGTTTTCACCGGTGTTCAGGAAATGAACGTCGGGAAATTCATTCCAACAGTTTCGTAACAGCTTCTCGATAACTGGATTTCAATTTGCCCGGAGGGCAAGCTTGATCGAGCAATCTCGTGCCTTTATAATATACGGGGCCCGTATAAGATATATGATAAACCCGACTGATCTGGACGTCCGGAATTTTCACTGCAAGTAATCAGCTTGCTTATCGGATTTTATGCTTGTACGATAAAATAAACGACAGATTACCTAAAACGCGCGAAACGTTCGTCAAAATCGTGCATTAGTTCGATGAACAAGATCAATCACCTTTTCAAACGCTAAATTCTAAAAAAAAAATAATTTCTTAAAACTATTTAACCATCTCGGTTGAATTTTCAGAACCACATTTCCGTAATTGTTTTGTGTTTTATTCGCGATAAGCGTGCGCCAGAGAAAAAGTATCGACGAAATTTCATACGTTGCCGAAATACCGTACGGTCGAAAGTTTTCCAAGCGAGGAAAATCCGCTTCGAATAGTTCTCCTTTTTCCGCGATTCTGTACCTGTCAGTCGCTCAACTTCAGCCACGTTCGCTGTATAATTCGTGAACTAAGGTAAACGCGAAGAACAGGTTGTCAAAAAATTTCGTACAATTTTCTGCTGTCGTAGAGAACCGTAGATCGAATATCGTGTTCCTTTCGACGATATCAAATTTGCCAACGGGAAAACACGTAATTACGATATAGAAGATATTCAGAAAATGTTTCCGTACCGAGTTATCTCCCCGACACGTCCCCGGTTTCAATTCGCGTTATGTATTAGCCACGATTTACGACTGGCCAGTCTGAGAAGAATACTAGCGGCTGGGTCTTACGTTCTCTTGCCAAATCGACGTCACGTAAATGTCTTTTGTAATCATTCGCGAGCACGGCGTCAGAAAGAAGAGATTCATGGAAAATCGATTTCCTTTTCAGTCGCGTTAAATCAAACATTTCTTTAACTATACCAACGATAATTTGCATATCAACTTTTCTCCACCTGCATTTATACTTCCAAGATTCCTTCTATTATTAGCAATCTGAAAATCAAATATTCTATCTTATCATTTATTAAAATGTTTTTCTCCGAGACACCAATCAGGCTCAGAACTTAATTACACGAAATAATTACATGACCCAGGAGGATTGTAGGGCCCGTGAATCGCGTGGATTGCGGTCGGTTACGGGGTTGCCCGTGCAGCAACTGCGCTGCAGTCGGCTGCAACTGCAGGGAAATGCAGTTTCGCGGGCAGAGAAGTGCGATGCTCGAGGTTGCCGGGGGCTAGGTAAAGCGGTTGAAAAAGGAGAGCCACTCTGTTAGCGTAATTATGCCGCGCTGGCCACTCGTATTATGCTGGCTGATGTTCAGAAAACACGCGTCACTTCTGCTAGGCACGAAAACGATTATGGTAATTGCGACGATCTTTCAGCTCGTTTCGGACCCCGGCTACCTACGCGTGTTAAAAGTGAAACTCTTGAATTGCGCAGATTTTAGCTGCGCTTGACTGCATTTTTCTGCATATGCAGTTATTTTAAAAATGCACGAAGCAAAGTAATTCGTTCGTTGATGCGGTAAATTTCTTCCAATTTAAGAAATCGACGAGCGACACCTGTTTCTTTCTGTTCCGGAGGTAGAAAATAGAGGTTCGATTTATCTTCCACTCGTCGACGAACTTTTACGCACACCGCGTACATCGTCTCTCGGGATCGCGCGAGAAGAGTATCGAGAATGTCATCGATATTCGAAGATCACGGTCGCGTCTCAATTTCTTCAAAAGGAGCTTCCAGTTTGTGGTCGCAGTCAAATACGCGTGGAAACGGCTCTCCTCGCTGTATCAGTTTTCCCAGCTTTTCTCCGTCCCTTTGAACGGGAGTCCCGTACATTTTTCCGGCTCGTCCCCGTCTCGCTAGCAAATCTATACGAAAGCGTAAACGTATTTCAGGCCCTCGGGATCCGTCGAGACGCGAACGTACCGGGAAACGTCGAAAAAGTGCGGCCAAATCGTTTCCCCCGCGTTGCACGGATCGCTGCAAAGAGATTATCTCGGTAAGCAAGCCTTACGAACCATTTGATCGCTCGTTCCAGCCATCCTATCCCCCCGTTTCCATCCAGAGATTCGCCCAGACATCGTCCCCATCTCTTTCTCTTCCTCTTTTTATCCTCTCGTGCACTTTGCAAAACGAGTTCCGCCTTGAAATGAAGTCGCGCGAGAGGAAATGCCGGCCAACCAAAGATATCTTCGTATCTTTCCACCTTTTTCTCGCAGACACAACTTTACTACGATCGACTCGTTTCCTCGCCCTTTGTTGCACGATTCTGGTGATCCATCGGGAAGCAATCGAAGGGATGAGACTTCCACAGGACGAAGCCTGCGTTCGAAGTTAATTGGACTTAAGAATCTTTGAATTGTCGAGGATTCTCTTGAATCCATTCGGAATGCTTTCTTCTTTTGCTCTCCAAACTTTTTAGCAGTTTAAAGGAGAGCACCGAGTGTGTTCAGTTCATTTTAAAGCTTGTTACATTGTACTTCGGTTATTCATATTAAGAAAAAAAGAAGAAATTCTGTGGAAATTATTGATTTCCATGACACGATAAGTTTATACACGCTAAACTGGAATTGCATGCAAATATTATTTATCGATAAAGCGATCGATGCTGCACCAGCGAAATTTCGTGTCTCGTCGCGGACGCAAGGAAGCCGATGAAATATTTCCACGATGGAATATTTGTCCAAGATATTCGATGCGCTTCTACAATTTTTCAGCAACAATTACCCAAAGAAAACACGACGTGTTTCCCAGCAACGGCGACCATCGTTGCACCGAGTATGCAGCATCGCATTTACCGCAGTTGCAATGCGTGACATTCTCGTAATCCCCGCGATTGTTTCTCCAGGAATTCGATTTCACGTCGCCTGTCCGCCCTTTCTGTCCTCGTAAAAACAGAGTCTCGTGGTCCTCTATGGTAACAACGCTCTGATATTTCAACACGAACCGTTTGCGTCAAGCGTGAAATCGACCGGACACGTTTCACGTCAGTGTTTAACGAACACTTGAGATTAGAGTGACTCGTCGAGGATTATCGGACACGAAAATGTCTGGTCGTACATCGCATATGGTCTCGTCCTACTGTTTCATTACGATATTAATTAAATTCGTTCCGTGTTAATCAAAAGACTCATTCCTGCAATTTATATGAAAACTTTTGATTCTTAAAATTTTAGAAAAGATTTTCAAAATGATATGTTGATAAAATTGTGTTTCGAAATTGCAAAGTTAAAAATTTGACAAATATTTGAAACTGGCTATAAGTTGAAACAATGTAAAATTTGTTATAAACAAATTGGAAAGAGCTTCTTTACAATTTATATCCACGCGTTTGCTAATGCCACGGCTTTAAATAGGGATAATTTCCGTATCGTGGCAGTAAATTACCCTCCTACCATCTTTCACAGAGAACAACTTCATTCGTTCTCTTCTGCCTCTGTCTGAAATAAACAGGAAAGTTAAGTTACAAGGGTGGGATGCTCTGGTCGAAGTTAAACTAGAATTGGGCGTTGCACAAGTGGCTAACAATAAGTTATTAAGCAGTTCAAGTTTTAATTGTATCTCGCAGTTGTAGCGGCTGCTGTACGCAACGTTGACGAACTTATTCAACGGATTACAAGTGAATATTCCATGGTACCGGTAATCCCGCGTTTTTTCCATTTTTTCCTCCTGAGCTTTCAAACATTAACTCCCCGCGCCATCAGTCGCGCGTTTCATGAAAAATTAAAACACTGTCTGCGCAAACGAGCGTGGAAAATTTACAACTTTCCAAGAGCTTTCAATTAGAATCCTTTCACAGAACCTCGCTGGTTCAAGTAATTTGTCGGAGGATCAATAATTTTCGCTAAATACCACTTATTCTACTAAAATACCCTCTTAAAAATTAACACAAGCAATTATCACTCACCGGTCCAAGATGCTTGTATCCCGACTGCAGAGCCAAAAGGGATGCAATTTGTGATCCACCTTCGATTCTCACCACCCATTCTTCTCTATGATCACCATGGTGTCCCAAAATACTCGTGAAAAATCTGCTCGCGACGATACACCACACCACCAGCCAGAAGTATACACTGAAGAAGAAAAAGAAAAATTCACTTTTTCACTGATTCACGAAGAAGAAAATAAAATAATGTCTGACTTAACGATGGAACTCGGATACCTGGCCATATTAAAACCTCTGAATTAAAACGAATAAAAGGCAATTAATACTTTCAACTCGGATCGTTTCTCTTCTTTTTAAAGAAGATCCGTTTTTGCTGCTAGACGCGTACCACCTACGCGACTGGAAGGACAATGGACAGGACGAGGTTCACTCGGTGACTATTGGATCCCGAGTGACAAGTGATCGGACAACAGTCTGTGACAATTAGCTACGATACTCCTTTTTGCTCGTAGAGGGGTTCACCCTGTCCCCACCAGTTTCCTCGCAAGCTGGGAGAAGGGTCATCGTGATAATCTTAACGCGTTGTTCCCCGACTAGATCAAACGTGTTTCTCTTTATTATACAGAGAGAATATTAACATTTTGATCACCGTGTCATCCATGTTTCAGCGATGCATGAATTTACACCCGAGTTATTCACTGGTTAAATAATTAATGTTACATGTTAATTATTGAGCCTGGATGTAGGTAAAATTTAATTTCGGTAGAGTTTGCTTGGGAAAGCGATTACAACGGGGAATTTCGGTAGAATACAACACAAAGCATCCGGTTGCAGCTATTATTTCGCATCTCAATTACAACGGCATGGCGGCAGAGTCAATCTCGCGAGAAATGGCACGGAATAATTCCTCCGTTTTACCAAATATCGCAGGAACGTGATAATGAATTTAAGTGGTATAATATCGATGAACATTACAGAGATACATTTTCATTGTCGATTGAACTTCCGCGCAACAAGCGGATGCTGTAACTTAATTTCTTCGAGTGACGCGTACGATGCTGTTCTACATTTTTTGTTTTCTTCCAGATTTATTCGTCTCGGCGTCTTGGAGGAATCTGATTATAATTGAGAAACGCGACCAGGTAAAAGAGGATTTTGAAACGACTTCACTTTGTCGGACCCCGGAGGGTAGTACTTGTAAATAAATTCAGTCTTCTTTACTGCCTGTCTCCGGGCTGGATATACACGAAGACAGAATAAAAGTGGCCGATAAAAGCAGAAACAGAGAGGCAGCAAGCGTCGTAAAGTTCATAGGGAAAAGGGGCGAGAATATCCGTCGATAAAAGGGACTCGTTTTGCTTCTGCTCACGTCGATTTCCAGATAAATCCTTACCTCGTCTATTTACGAGGATTCCCCGCCACGAATAGAAGAAAATCGCGATGTAACTGCTATCTTTTGTCAACATTCTTTTCGTAACCACTGAATCTTCCAGAGGTTTGGAAATCTTGTCGCTGATTTTATATTAATTTTCTGTCTTTCCTTTGGAAGTTTGTATGATTGGATAATTAAATAACTGGGAAAACCTTCAGCGATTCTTTCGTCGAATCTGTGATTTCCCATGAATGCACTAAACCTTCCACGATCGCGTCCATTTTCAGGCGAGAATTTTCCTATTCTCCCCGACGAGTTTCAACTATTTCCAGGCGATCGTTTATGGCTTCGAAACGTGCATTACTTTTCCTCTAACTGGTCCCCGTTCTCCGCCCGACAGTTTTCAGATAATTTCGTTACAATAGTTAACGGAAAGTTTGTAATCCATTAGGGGAGCACGTATTTTGTGTACTCCCATTTCTACGTCTACACACATCACGTTCACGTTCACCACCGTTCGAATTCTATTGGCTATGTAACCGAATTCTCACGTAATTTGCTTCATCGACTATAATGCAACAATTTTCGTTTAATAATTTGCAACATCCTTGCATTCATTATTTTCTATGTAAAGGGTATCCGCACGTTAAATAATAGAAATAAATAAACATAGTGTTTTTGATGAGAAGTTATGATTGGGAGACGTGTAGGAGACAAGAAGGAAATCTCCTTAATTAATTATGTCACCTTGGGTATTAATGAAATTTTCCTGGATATCCTGTCTCCCGGAGTGTTCTTCGCGTGAGTTCTTTAAATTGGAGAAACGACAGCCAATAGGAAGCTCGTTTAGCCGATTTTTCCCATAGAAATTTCGAATCTAGGTGGAAGAGGGCATAATCAGGGGGGGGTTGACGTTTATTAAGCACCTTTGCTCGCAAATTCTTCGCCGACCGGTCGAAATAGAACGCGAAAGTAACCGTAGAAAATTGGAAAGTTTCCACGCGATAAAATCAGACTTAATTTTCAATAAATTCCCCCTACTATTCCCAGTCGAGGGTTGGTCGACCGTTCTCGTACGTGGTGGCCAGACCGAAAGGAGTTGGAGAACACTAGAAAGGAGGAAGAACGAGAAGGGGTCGGAAAGCGTAGAGGAAAGGTAATTTACTTGGTAATTATAAAGTTACCAGCTCCGGCGACGCGCATAGTTGTGAATATTCAAATGCGATTACATCTATGATCGCATAAATTATACGTAGCGCCTTCGTGCCACCTCGAAACCCCTTTTGTTCCCGCGATTTTCTATCTCTATCTCTTTCTCTTTTGCCGCTTTAACGCTTCGGAAAAGTTTCACTCTGTACATGGGACCCGAGGCGGTCCACCCCCGCGAGTTTCCGTATTTTTCTGAGGACGATACGAGCTTCTGCTGTATGGGAAAACTTTCGACGACACTGGGGAACGCTACTTCTTCGAAAGGTCGACTGCGGTTTCTCAGCCATTCCCGACGATCATGGTACCCATAAATGATGATTGACTTTCGAAGACCGACATAATCATTGCTGTTTACTACTTTCCTCTTAGAACATATTTTTATTGCAATACCGACAGGAAATCCTATCCTCAAGAATTGAATTTTGAAAGTTAAGAGCATGGAAATTTCTAATTTTAAAAGAATTCCTGAAAAATTTTGAAACTTTGTAAATCCTAAAAGTCTTGAAATATTAGTGATACCCGAAAATGAGCAGCATGCAACAATATGCAAATTTGGCAACTAAATGAAAATTTGAATACTGTTTCATGCCCTTCGTTTTGAAGTATTCAAATTTTAATTCAGCTGTCAAATTTGCATGCTGTTGCGTGTTCTTCATTCCGAGAACTCAGAGGTACTTGAAGAGTTTCAAGACTTCAAATAATTGTTGCAACAATTTGAATCTCAATTTTGCTTCAAATTTGAAATTGTGGATATTATCTCAGCAATCTCAGTCTTCGCAATATCAATTTATTGCGAGAGCAACGATTACATCGCAAGAGATCGCAGACTGTTAGCTAATCCCGAGCTAATCCAGTCTTAGACCGGTTGCTCGACTTAACCCAGACCTAACACAACCCTCGTAGTTTGAATTTCAACCGAAGCACTTTATCGAACCGAGGCATTTATGAGAGTTAATTAAATCATTTTCCGAACTCTGTTATTTCATCGTTCGCGATGGTAACCACTTCTGACGGTATTTATTTTTCTCTAACAAGCGTTCCTCTCGAACGGAAAAGAATCCCCTAGAGACAGAGATTTTTTTTAAATATCCCGAATAGCAGGCATTACTAGCTACGCCGGGTATCCAGCTAGATAAGGGAGTTCTCCTCTCTTATCGTACTTTTACCATCGTCGGCGTGAGACAACGGGGAGCTGTCCACGAAACAATATTTTCCCTCTTCCTTTTGCTCTCCTTTTTCTTTTTAAAACGCAGAAGAAGGTGATCTCGGTAACCGTTAAAAATGACCGTCCTGTATTACCCGGTCTGGACAGATAACGGCGAGGAACAGCAAGCGGTAACCGTGTTATCTACATCGAATAATTAAGAATTGTTTAATTGCCCGTGGAAGTGCTTATCGTCCGTTGAAAAGAAAATTCGTCTCGTAAATTGAGCTGTTTTAGTTAGAATTCTTCTACTATTATCTCTCGACCATTCTCGTCGTCTTCGCGAACATTTTTTTATAATCTATTATTTCATTAAAAAATTGTTAACAATACTGGAAGAGGCATTCCGATGCTGTGGGATATAGATGCTCGATCGAAAGCTTCCACAGACAGAGTAACCATTCTGGGAAATGGATCAACCACCATAAACCACACGTGGTCGACGTGATCGCACGTGTCAAGGAGTCGCTTATTGCAGGTATGTACAGCTGCCTGACGTTTATATACTCGTGAGAACTGTATGAGCTGACGTCCGTTTCGAGGGAGTTTTATCGTGAACGCTTTCGTGACTGGGGATATTGATACGAGGACGAAACTTGCGAAGCTTTGCAATTATTAAAGGAGAAAAAATTCTTGGTTCAGGAAAACCGTGGCACTTAAAAATTAAATGAAATCTTATCAATAACAAGTTTTGGTATACAGAATTGTATTAGCTTCGTGGCACCACCAGAAAATTTTTAATGAACGTTTAGAACAAGTGGAATTCAGTTTCTGCTTGCTTTCTCATTAGGGAGTTTGAAGCTTCGTATAGTTTCATTGGAATCCCTTTGATTGAGAAACGGCTAAAAAAGAACGTCGAACACAATCATTCTGAAATTAAATACAATACTTTTACAACCCCTAACTTTCTCTGAAAATTTAAATAATTTCATTACTTTTTAAACGTTCTTCAAATTCAATGAACCATGGTTCTGGTAAACCATTGCGATTAAATTCCGATCGAAATAATGCGATATCGATCGCGTAATGCTTGAAGAATGACCGACAAACGTAAGGGAAATGATAGATTTTGGAACGAGACTCGCTTCCAGGTCAACTTCCAGGGAAAGGTCGACGGGTAGCTGAACGTTGCCTCATAAAATGCACCCTCGAGCTACATTCATGACAACGGGGCCGGCGTTTTGGTTTCCCTGCGGGCTATTTAGCGCATCTGCCTCCAGCTTGCTGGCTGCTTCGGTTCGCGAAGACGTAAACGCTGACTGAAAAGAGAACCACCTATGCGACCGAAGATCCAGTATATTTTTTTATTCCCAGACAGATACTTCAAATAAAATAACATTGCATCGTTAAGAATTAATTGAATCTCGAAATGACAATAATTTTGGAAAATAAATTAGTTTATCAAACGAATTGCACGTTTATCAATTTATCCAGTCTCTCCCTGGACAATTTTCCCTTTCCAGAGAAAGCTTTAACCTCGTTCACGGATAATTGATAAAAGAAGAAACAAGGTTGTACCTGGTTCCAGGGTACGTGACCGACGAACGCGATCGAAACCGCAATTGTTCAGCTTCTCCTGGTGCTTTTAATTCATTTGTTAATTTATCGCGCGGACCATTGTCCCTCGGGCTGGTGATACCAATACTATCCACGAAATTTGTGTACGTGTGTCTCT